CTATACAGCAATTTGGTGAATAAAATGACATCTTGCTGGATTTTAAACGCAGATTCCGGAGAGGACGTTTCTGCCTCTCAAACCTGCTAACTGGTCTGGAGATATGGACCCGGGCTCTAGTTGGGGGCTTTGAGGTCAATGTCATGTACCAGCTTTCTATACTGTCCCACACCAACGCCTTCTGCATAAATTCTGGTTAAGGGCTTTTCTGGTTGGTCGGAAACAGCGTGTCTGTCTCAGAGATGGGTGAACGTGACTAGTGGTGTGTCTCAAGGCTCAGTTCTTGGACCATTGCTCTTCATCCTTTATGCTAATGACAGCCATCAGGAACTCGAGTGCGGTAAAATAATGTTTGCCGACGACGTTAAACACTACAAGTCAGTAAGAGTCCAAATGACCAGAGAGCCCTTCAAAAGAACCTGCACAGACTACAAGCGTGGTCCGAGAATTGCCTTATAGATTTCAATGTGCGGAAGTGTATCGTCCGTCATCTGCGTCCAACCAACCGTCACTTAGATGATAGTCTATGGACATATTACCTAAAAGACATTAGACTTCTCACAGAATTTACACAGGAGGATCTCGGTGTTTGGATACAGAGCAACATGAAACCAACATTGCAATGTAAAAACGCCATGGGAGTGATCCATGCAATCAAAAGGGTGTTTGTAACCTTTGACAAAGACCTTTTGGAAAAGTTTACGGCACCTTTGTTCGACCCCATTTAGAATATGGCATACAAGTGTGGCGGCCATGGCTAGTAAAGGACCAAGCATGTCTTGAAAGAGTACAACGACGTGAAAAAAGCTGGTGAAAGGGTTAAAAAAACCAGTTCTACGTGAAAGACTGAATTGCCTAAATTTATTACCCCTGTGTTACAGGCAGCAAAGAGGTGATCTTGTCCTGGTTAACAAGATAATACATAGCCTTGAGCATGGACTTAGCTTTGAGGACGTGTTTCAGTGGCATTTTTTGGCCGATCTTCATGGTCACTCGATGAAGCTACACACAAAAATGCCCAGGTTGAATCTTCGTTCTGACTTTTTCCCACAAGGGGTAATGGAGAATTAGAACAATCCCGCCATCAGTCGTGGAGATGACGTCCCTGCAACTCTTCAAGAAATGCTTGGATGAGTATTTCTGTTCCCCGTCTTCCCTCGACATTCTGAGCCTGAGCCAAATACCTCGAGATTTCCGGGATTTTTTATTTGAAGCAATGTTACTCAAAAAAATAAGTACTGTTTTTATAGCGAATATTTTCATTGTTCGAGTACAGTTGTATTTAACGGGCTGACATGTAATCAATAGGATTTTCAGAGGCCTTTCCTATTATCTTTATCAAATAAACTAAATTCCAAATAGTTGTCCCCCTAAATTCCAACCTTTCCAAGATGTTATCGACTTTTCTAACTGATCTCAGCTTGTGCGCTCTCAAAAAGGAGATAATCACACTTCAGATCTAGCTTTTACCAATGACACTGTTCCTCTTTTCGTTGCTTTCAAAAAACCCTTTGATAGTGACCACGTTTTGATAAATTTCTGCCTTTCGCTTGTCTTTTCAACGTAGCCCAGCACAGTTCGGACCTACTTAGATTACGATTGTATGGACAATGACTTAATAAACAACTTTACCGGGATATTGGATTGACGTGCCTTTCTTTCATGTAATGATGCAACATTTCTTTGACCGTCGTGTTCGATGCTTCCAAAAACACCTTGGAATTTGTGCCTCGTAAAGGCCCCGAGTCTAACTCTCCGGATTCCCTTGTTCTTCAAGACTAGAAAGTTGAGACGGCAACGGCGTGACTTTTCCACTACTTCATTATCCGTCCACCTAAGAATCACAGAAATTTTCGCAATGGCCTCGAAGATGCTTGAATGGCGTGACAAGCAATGACAATCACTTGCTCTCAGTGATCCAAACCCTGTCAGATCAGTCGCTGAAATCTTGCTTGACGGGTTCTCCTCTAAGCATGGTGACGAACTTCCACCCCAGCTAAACGATAACAAAATCTTCCTAATCGATGACATTGACAAGGCGGAGTTGTTAAGTGTTTTCTTTGCGAAAAACCTTACTACTGAGTCCGAACCAGTCCCTTTCTTCTCTTCACTTTGTGATAGAAAACTCAGTACAATCCCTGTCTCCTCGGATTTAATAAAGAAACACACAAGTCGTTTGAAAAGCATACTGGGAACGGACAGCATTCTAAACTAGATTATCGAACAGGCATCCGACCTTCCAATATTGTTTATGCATTTATTTTCAATTTAGATTTCAGGCGGATTTTGTCCGGAAACATGGAATACCTTAATTATCATTACTATCTTCAAGCGTGGATGTCGGTCTGATGTTAATAACTATCGGGACGTGCACAAAACGACGGGAAAACCGCTGGGATTTCAGCAGGTGACCCAGTCCACCCCGTTCTCCGAAAAATAGCCAAGTGGGAGAAATTTACCTCAGCAATAGTCTCTAAAGAGTAATCAACTCAGAGAAGGAACCCACACTGTAGTACTAAAAACAAAACTTGCGATATTACTGACTATTCGTCCTCGAAATAAGGAACGAACAACCGCCCAGGTCGGGTCCTGGTCCCGTACATCCCCGTTCGGCTCCACTGCGTCATATTTTAGAAGAACTGCAAGTCACATAGACAGTGTTTTTCGTCTCAAGACACATAAATAAATTTCAGTTTATATTTCATGTTTTATGCATTAGTTGCTTCCTACCCGACTGGGGCCAACTTGGTCGTTGTTCGCGAAGAAGATGCGAACGGCAATGCTTTGAAATTCTCCCGATTACCTGCTTTTTATGTTTCGACGCTGTATTTGGGGGGTGCATTGGCCGAAAATTCTAACTACGTTAAACACTACGTTCCACGATCACCTAGAATGGAATTCCACAGGCATGTAATTGCTATAAAAATTGTCTTACATTTTTTTCATAATGTAATAATCGCGCTTTTTCCAAAAACTAGGGAGAAAGACACATTCGGAATTAAAACATGAATTATAAAAAATGAATTAAGGACGTATGTATTTACACTTTCCGAGATATGTCTCTGGAAGAGGGGAAGCATTGTTTTCAGGTCTTACAATAAGTTTGTTGGATGTTGGTGTATGGCTCGGTGTTTTTCTGCAAATGCCTTCGGCAAGCCAGTGTTAAGATTGAGTAATTTATTAATTCCGGTCGGCAAACATATCCCCGAAGAAGTGTCGCTTTGCAGGACGCAGCAGTCTCCTTCCTGCATGGAAAATGCAAATCAGACAGTCTATAAAGTCAAACGAAGCTAAGCGAAAAACAAAAAAAGCAGTCATCTAGAAAGCCGTAGAACTTCGAGAATGACCTTTTGGGGACACAAATGTTGAAAGGGCAGTTCATGAAGATCACGTCAAAAGGTTAGCTTCGGAATCTTCTTCGCTAGTCTTACAGTCTGGACCTCAAAAGTGGTGTCGTGGACCTAGGTAACAAGCACCGTGTGCGCCATGTGCACTCTCGGCCAAAAACCAAAGACATTACAACGAATATCATTTCGAGTATCAGTTGCAGTGGGTAAGGTTATCAGGCTATAAAAGCACGTTATTATCCAATGCGAAAATAAGCCCTTTAATGCCTTCCGTTCTTTCACAACGCCGCCCTCTTGTTCAGTCTATAATGACTTAAAGGTCTGACAGAGTGATTCATTGAAGACAGGGCGAACTTGAGCTCTTTACAGTACTGATTTATTCTCATAAGTCCAAAGCCTCATCTAGCAGCTATGCTGTACCAAAAAAGCCTGAAACCAAAAACACATTGTTTCCTCGCTGGTCAGTCGAAAAATTTTATGGAAACCACAAAGTGTGGTTAGTGTGCTCTCATTACTGATTCTGAAGCCAAAAAACCTTGGTGGAAAATGAGTAAAAGGTGACCCAAAGCTGCCGAACATTGGATTATTTTGGCCTTTGTACCTATATTGCTTGTAAATCGACAGCAGTGTTATTCGTTGTAACCAGTTAAAACGGTTTTGATACATGGGAGTTAGTCAGTTCTTAATAACGCCCTTTTATCGGGACATGCAGTTTGGACAAATCACAAACAAGATTGAAAATATCAAGCGAGGTTTATTCCATCATCTTTTTATTGATAATTCCATCAGTTTCTGACAGACTTAGTGGCCATTCCTGAAGATAACAGAGAGGTGCCTATCCAAGACAAATAACCTGATTATGCTATCTAGCGACACATGAGTAGTACGGCTTCAACATCAGTTACAGGTATGTGTCTTCTGGCAGACAACAGTTTTATTTGTACGCCGTTCTTAAATGCTCCTTAAAATAACACGTTGCGGTACCCGTAATCTACTTTAAAATTGCCGCTACAACTGCTTATATAACTTCGAGCTTATAACGGGCTGCTTTCTTTTCTCAAAACCTCGCCAAAGAAACTCTCCCTCATAGAAGATGAATAAATTCGGGGGTCATAAAGTGTAAGTTTTCTCAATACACGGTCCCAAACGACCTGATTGCTTCAACTTCCGATGACGTGTCCCAGCATGTAGGATCACCCAGGAAAAATGTTACCTCAGTGCCTCTGGTTGCTCCCTGGTAGCTAATTCAGTTCAGCCAAAGTGGCAGTTCAGATGAAATTATTTTGTTATTATTCCTAACCAGGTCGGTGGATTAGCATGCCCCACGTTAAACTATCGAATGAGGTATTTTTGAATAGCCGGTGTTGGAGCAGATCGGAAAGGGTGGAGTGACTGTCCAAGTAAAGGGAAGCTAGGAAGATAGGAGGCGATTTATTTTGGCAAGGCAGTAGTGAAGAAGTGGCTAACTACTTTTCGGTCGAGATGTTAGAGGGAATGAGGGTGATGGAGGTGGTACGGCATGTCAACTTTCGTGGCAGTCAAAAGCCACGGCTACTGAAAAGACGACAGTAGCTACTGGTGCAGCAGGATGCATTTATTGCCGACGGACTCATAAATAACTTTCATCTGGCAGCTTGTTATACTTACGGGGCTTTAGATAACAATTTCATCCAGAGACTTAACGGGGCTGTCCTCGTGTTCGTGCAAGTTGGTCCGTATGCGGTAGATCACTGTGGAGGCGGAAAAGTCCTGTTTTGCGAACAGAATGAGACAGTACACCAATAGACAAAGGAGTGAAAGGAGGGCGACGGAAATTAGAGTGATGAGGAAGATCCGTAGAATGGAGGCCAGTTTGTACAGCCTGAAGTGAAGGGCTTCAAGTGTATCCCGGTTCGCCACATTGTCCTGGTAAAACAAAAATATCGATTACCAGTCAGCATCAGTAAGGTGTGTGCTATTCGTAAGGCAGTTTGGTTCGGATATCAGGTCCGTTGCCGGCGTTTTCATCATAAGAAGTATATATCCACCGTAAGGCTATTTTTATGTGGTGTCCATGGACAGGCGAACCTTTGTAAGACTCGTGAAATTTCAATATTTTTACCCTGATTAGCGAATCAACATGCCACCTGTCCTGGTAGCACACGTCTGCATCCTAATAGTCGGGACAAAGTGGGATAGATGGATTAAGGACCTAGTCCATGGAATTATTCGCCTCCCACCTTTAGCATATTTACTCATTAAGACTGCACCTTTTTCAGTACAGATAGCGCGGGTACGTTCCTTGCTTAGATAATTACGTAAAAACAATTGCGTAAGTAAACTACTTCCTGATATTTTTCGAAGGACGGGGTAGACAGGGTAATTTACTGTCATTGCGGCTTTTGGTTACGCCGTATGGACAGAGTTAGACGGCGGAATCAACGGTTGGGAATGCGAAAAAAAATAACTGGAAACTGTTTACGTCTACGATTGCTTCTACAAACCGATCCACGCAAGGATTGTGCCTACACTATCAGCGTCGCAAAACGCTTCAGTTTGCTAATAAGTTATGTTAAAAATAAAAGACGAAGGGCCCCTCGGATTGGGTCATGACCCAACCCATCCCATTCTGGCTCAGTTCATAGGACGGCGACATTTGCTAGACGGGTAGAGGCGCAACTCGCTAAGCTAATCTAAAAATTCTACCGACAAAGATAACAGATACCAGAACGACCCGTTCAGGTCTGTTTTTCGTCACCAATCTGTCATAACATACCTCAAAGTGGGATAACTTTAAACCTGAAACTAGGTAAGCTGTCTGTTGACACTTGGACCAGAAGTTCTACCACTTAGGCCACAAGGCCATGTCATATGGATCGTAATTGGAAGAGTCAAGAGTGCCCTCACCAATCTGTGTTAATTTGAGAACGGAATGATGTACGACTGAATATTCCCGGTTCAAAGCTGCAGCGCGTTGACACGTTGCTAGAAGAACCAAGCGTTTGACTAAACTGGTCAACGACAAACTTATTCAACTAAAAATCCTCGTGTTTGCTTGAGGACGCATTACAGTTTGCGGAACACACGAGAGAAGCTGGGCATGGTCATTGCAGTTTCCCTGCTCGTTATAACACCGCCTGTAAGTAACTAGGATCGAAATTCAAGGCGAAACAAGATTGTGCCATAGTAACCCTTTACTCGTGAGCTGTGAAACCCACTTCTGTTTGACTGATCGTACGTGGGCAGTAAAGTTATCCAAAACGCAGTGAGGTCCGTCGACGTCGCAAACGCTCTTAGGGTTTGGAGATTTATCTTTATTTCAGTAGGCTACTTAGGGGGCTTTGGGCTTATTTCCACAGCGGTTAGCGGATAACAGACGAAAAAACCACGATTTTGATCTAATTCGTTATCGGTTGGGATAGCGGACAATTTCACAGCCTCACCAAGATCGGAATCGCACCTATACACAACGGGTATATTTTGTGCTTAGGGCCTCGCCTTTCCATTAAAAGAAAAACGCTGCTCACTTGAACGTGCAGCTAGAAGATCTTTTGAAAGCGAGGAAAATGTGTAAGGAAAGAAACAATTGGCATCAATGTGCCTATGTAGATTTATTGTGCAAAAGGCTACTTAAAACACCAAGTGTGTAATGACAAATATTTGGGGACCAACGCTTTAAAGCAAACTTAGCATTACAATCGCTGCTTAAACATCCAGAATGGGATGTGTGATAGGTGAAAACACAGCAAAGATTTACGAACAGTTTTACACTCAGGCCAAAGGTAGCTAACTCATCATGTGAAGGCAAAGAGGTGAGGAGACATGGTTGAAAAAGTTCATTCGACATATCACCCGGGTTTCAGCCTACAGAGCTTCTATCTTCGAAGAAAATGAGTTGTAATCATCCTGAATGTTAAAGGTTATAACGTGTCCAACAGAGTCAAACGAAAACTCCATATCACGGTACAATGGGGTCGCCATGCGTTGTAGACTGCACACTGAACATCCCAGTCAGGTCTTTTTATGATTAACTTTCCTAATCACGTTGATTTTAACCCTGTTCATGAGTTCGAATGCAGTTGCGGATGTAAACAAATTAAGGGCATACAAAAGGGACACGGCAGAGCGAATACCCGCCAAAGCGGGGCAGGTGTGAGTTGCAAAGGAAGTTTTACGTAGCTCAGTCAAAAAGCGCCTAGTTAAGAGTGGTCATATTATTCATCCTGGGCCGTCATTTAACATCGCAACAAACACAAGAATAGCGCGTCTTCGACGTTGTGAGGAAACCGTGGAAATATGAGGAATAACGCGCAAATATCACAAGCATTCGCATCAGGATATTAACATAAAACTACTTCGGTAGTCAGGCGGTGTTAACTAGTCCCCTTCCTCACCCCCTCAGTTCCATAGATCTCAGCTTCATGACTCAAGCAGTTCAGTGGTTATTTTGTCACATAAAAGCCAGAAACGCCCTTTTTAAAACCACATAACGGATTATGAGACTTGAAGACAGGTCTCAAAACCAGTGAATTTTGCTTCATTCTCGTTATCCGTCCTCTTTTTCTCTTGTCACAAAACGCTACCCACGGATTAACGCCACTTTTTGTCAATCCGACCAGTGTTAAGCCATTTTTTCTTTAAGAAAGTTTCGGAAAACAATTTTATAAAGAAACGGTAATCTTTAACCTGTCTTACCTCGAGAAAACGTGCCGCCGGGTAGAAAATGTCCTCTGGAAACTGATGAAATCCACCTCTAAAAAATATTAAAGTCAGCCTCATACAGTGTACGGAAATGCTCCTTAATCTGTTATAAGTTATTGGCGGCTTTATGAAGAAGAATCCAACAAATGTGAATTTTTTAAAATGTAATGCTGAACAACAAACTCTCGAATAAGGCAACAGAATCAGAAAGACTGAAAAGGTCCTTACGAACAACGGCAAAGTCCATGGATTTTTGAATAGTCAAAGAAACCATTAAATATAGCCTTTACGGGATCTGGTCATGATAAACTTGGGCGACAGATCCCTCTTCTACTTTTCTTCGTACTCCATACAAATCTGCCTATGCACCAGCCTTTCCCGAACTCACTGTGACTTTCATGTCATATACTCGTATGACTGCTACTTTCGAACGGATATGTTTGCCTTGCTCACCCTGGACTTTTAGCCGATCTATTGCCCGTCGCCCATACACTGAAAATGATTACGGATCGTAACGTTTTCGAAGTGGTTATATAACCCATCATTTAGGCGATCTGTGTATTGTCTGTTGTAGATAATTTCTTTTTTTGGGATTTTTTTTCAAGCTTCTCATCCCTACCAATGACCTTAGGAACTGGATAAATCTAATAATATTGGACAGATTAGAAACGAGAAGGGTCATTACAGTGTCGGGTTCTTTTTCGGCTAATTACAATCGCTACTTTTCATATAACGCGAGGATGAAGCTCAAAGATTCGGCCTGGTCGGGAAGGGAAGAGGATTTGTTGTGAAGTCCAGGTGTTGGACGAGCACCTAATAAGTACCAAGAGGTGAACCACCAGTAACAGAAAGACTGGAGTAGTCGGTTTAGCTCATTAACCTCGCCGAAATAAGTAACTCCCGACATCGAAAGCGGCCTTCTTCAATTCATGTTTCAGACTGAATTGACGATGGCAGACAAAACAAGAATGACCGCTCCGGCTCTGCTGTACCCGTCCATTTGTTTTCGCAAATTATTGACTAGTGTGTTGTCATTAGTGAGCCGGAACATGGGCTTTATGTACGGGGAGGGGCGGGGCTTGTGGTCGCTCCTCCAGGGGGAGGGGTCGATGGGCTTCATGCATTTTTGAAAGTTCTATTTTGAAATGTCTGGAGCGGTGTTTCAAATGCGCCTCTATTCTGACAGTAAGGTTCTCACTGTCACCTGGAATACGATCCCAATCCTACTGAATTCCGCGCACAGGTGGTCTTGAATGGCCTAATGCGTATGTCAGGTAATCTTCCAAATAGTTCTTTTTACATTGTCGCAACTGGTGTGTGCATGGAAGTTCATTTGATCTTCTATCACCTAGCTTTCAGTTCCTAAAAGGTGGTACGAATATGCATGGGTAAGATGTAGAAACAAAGCCTTGTGAGTTTTAGATAAGTAATTCATGGAAGTTCAGTTCGAAACCGTTTCTTACTTTTCGTATTTCGTCACTGGTTCTAAATCAATGTTTTCTGCTCGTGCATTTACGTCTCGGATAGTATATTTAGATAATTAGGAATTAACCTGAAAAGCTTTTCAACAAAAGCGGGCTGATTTATAGTTTCTGTCTGAATGCACTGGTCATTCAAAATGTTCTTTTTTTCTCATTCATTGGTACTATATTCAAAGGTGCAAATGTCAATCTCGATTTCTATTGTGGGAGGTGACATTTCACTACGCGAAGTTCTAAAACCTACCGTCATACAGGTCACAATGCGCCGTATATACCTATATTTCTTTCCCAGGTAGATTTTCCCTCTGCAAAGTTACGAGACACGCCTTAAGGCTCAATCTAATATCCTCTCAGACAATCAAATAGCGACCAATAATGTATGCATTTAAGATGCGCCAGTAAATGCAAGAGAGACCGGAGTGACCGTTTTTGGCCTATTAGCCGTCGTCATGTAGCCGTACCTTACTTTAGTGTTTCTTAACTTGGGGCTAGAACCCAGATTATTCGGTCGTTGAGTGCCAAGTACAACGCTCTATCATTGGGCCAGACTGGGAAATCTGTCCTTACTCGTATACATGAACACCAGTTAGTGGTGATGAGACGAGATCACCTACCCCAGGCGACTATGCGCACATTGGACACTGGAAACAAATTTGCACGGGTGAAAATTCGCGTTGTTGGCGTCTGCCCCCGAAGGAAAGGCGGCAAACTCCTGGAAGCAGTACACTCACATGAGACATGCACCAATTGGAATCTCGATTCAGATGCCATGTACAAATTTCTTAAGGACAAATGGAAGCGAGCGCAACCAATACGGAAGGGATTACGAAGTACAATTGACGCGCACTGGCACAGGTTTCGGCTAACCACAGAATCATTCGTTCAATGGGATTGAACAGCTAAATGTTTTACACGTGACCTATAACGACGAGCTGGGGAAAAAGTCCTGAGAATGTGTGTAAAGAACGTTATTTCTTTCCCAAAGAATCTCACCTATTTCGTATTACATTTCTTGGAATGTCATGGACTCGTTGTCCTGTCGGTTGTGATCGGGAATATCAGTTATGATAGTGGGCGCTCGCCGATCAGGTTACGGAACATGCTCGTCCCGTTGTGCCTTGGGGCTCATACTAGAACCCTCGCAGACAGTCTAGTATGAGCCTCAAAGGCACAACGGAACGAGCATGTTCCCTAACCTGATCGGTGAGCGCCCACTGTCATAATTGATATTCCCGATCACAACCGACAGGACAACGGGCCCGTGGCTCAATGGTAGAGTGTCAAACTCCATGACCAAAGATCCCGGGTTCGAATCCCAAGGGATCCACACTTGGGGTTGGGTATGACTGGCTGACGACGGCTAATAAGACAGAAAAGGCCATTCCGGTCTCCCTTGTCTTTGTCGGCACCATCTCATCTAAGTCTACTACTAGTCTCTATGCGACTGTCTAAGAGGGTTCTAGTATGAGCCCCAAGGCACAAAGGAACGAGCATGTTGCGTAACCTGATCGGTGGGCGCCCATTGTCATAATATCTATATCGTAATATATATCCGTCATATATATATATATATTCCCGATCGAAAACCGACAGGGCAACGGGCTCGTGGCCCGGTGAGTAGAGGCGTTGACTTCTAAACCAACAGGTTGCGAGTTCGAGGCTCGGGTGTTCCACACTTCGGGCTTGGGTATGGCTGGCTGACGACGGCCAATAAGCCAGAAATGGCCATTCCAGTCTCCCTTGTCTTTGTCGGTAATATCATTCTGCATATATATATGTATATGAGAAACGGGTCTGACCCAAAAAACACTGTCCCGGAGACTAAACTCCATGTCCTGCACTGAATACTTTCTGAAATTATTGGTCTGATACATATATGCAGTCTCATGAAATGTTGGCTAAAATTCTGAAAGGCGTTTTCGATCAAGAAGGTTTACTTAGGCGCAGTTGTGACACTGCTTATCTTGCGACATAATCCTAAAATATTTTCGACTCGGCAAGATGTCAGATTTTGAATACACTGCTTCTTAATCTCCTGTAGATACCGTACTTGGTCAAAAATGGCTACTTAATTAGCCTGAATTTTTCCAATGATTTTCGATGGTCTTGCAGATTCAAATATATTTCATAGAAACCATGAACAAAAACATGCTTCCCTTTAGTCCTTTGATAGAGTATCGCGTCATCGTTATACTTTATACTCGAAGAAGGAGTAGAATTAGGATTTAAATAAACTTTCCAATTATGAGATTTTTTAGGAACGTGTAATGTCCATTCATACAGCATCGTAGCTGTCCCTATCCCACTGCTCCTGATGAAATGTACAACATGATCCGCATCCAGTGCAAAATTTTATGGACGCTACATAGTATTTTGTTAAACGGATAGAAGAATATCTGATTTTTTTACGCCGAACGCATGCACCTTGCAGAATGGAATCCATAAGTGTTAATGCAACTACTTACCAGGCTCTGAATTATCCTGGAATTAGAAAGTTTACTTAAAACCTAATTATACTCCTTCTTCAAGTATAAAGTATAACGATGACGCGATGCTCTATCAAATGACTAAAAGAAAGCACGTTTTTGTTCGTGGTTTCTATGAAACATATTTGAATTTGCAAGACCATCGAAAACCAATGGGAAAAATGCAGGCTAATTAAGTAGCCATTTTCGACCAAGTACGGTATCCACAGGAGATTGAAAAGCAATTTATTGAACAGCTGGCATCCTGCAGAGTCTGAAATGTTATAGGATTATGTCGCAAGATAAGCAGTGTCGCAACTGCGCCTAAGTAATCCTTCGTGATCGAAGACGCATTTCAGAATTTCCGCCAACATTTCAGGAGAACGGTCACTTACTGTATGTATACTCATGGTTTCCCCATTCGGCGGCCTATGATATGTGGCTTTTGATGTATGGACTCCAGACATAAGTGACGAACCAGTAGTTTCGCAGACTTTATCGGTAGTACATGATGGACACTACTCGGTTACCCCACAAGAAGTTGGTTGTTTACGACTCAAGTCCTTATTACAATTTCGGGCCCGACCCCCCGAAGTCACGCCCAAGTCCTCCCCATAAAAATCTGCGAATGATGCAAGGGGCAATTATAACTATAACACCTACATCCGCTTCCGTTACGTGAGATACTGATGTCTCTAACTTCACACTGATAGCATCTGCCTACGTGCACATTTACCTCGAAGTTTGGGTGGACCCACAGTAGATTTTGTATGATATTTCTCAAAAGAAACTTGCAGCATCAAAGGAGTGCAAGCTGTTTGGTTCAGAAAACTCATGACAACTATCACGAGGTGTAACAGGACAGAAGTCTACTCCTCACTGGTCGTGCATAAGCTTCAAAGTACACTGGGAAATCCTGGGAAATCGAACCAGGAGGCTTCAGTTTCGAACCGTCTAGTAATCATGACTAGATCAAACCATTTTGTTGCTTAAAATGACTACATCTAGGGTTTATTAAGAGTGCACTAATAAAAATTATACCAAAACGTCCCTTTTTACTTCTATCCCGCAGGACCTGGCAGTCGAGACAATCGAACTACGCCTACGAGAGAAGACCGACGAAACGGAGAATCGCCTCGGACACGCCCAAATCATCCAGCTCCTGAAGTTCTGTCTCAAGACGTACTTTACATTCGACGGAACAATCTACGAGCAGGTGAAGGGAACGCCAATGGGTTCGCCGATTTCGGGACTCATAGCCGAGGCGGTCCTTCAACGGCTGGAGTTGCTGCTTTTCCGACACCACAGACCGAAATTCTGGGCTGGGTATGTGGATGACACCTTCGTCGTCATCGAACGGGATCAGGTGCTGACTTTCAAAGAACAACTCAACGCCGTCTTCCGGGACATTCAATTTACGATGGAGGAGGAGGAAAACAATCAGCTGGCCTTCCTGGATGTCCTCGTTTGCCGCAAAGATTGTGGTGGCCTAAAAACCAAAGTGTTCAGGAAAGCGACAAATACGACGCAAATACTGAACTTCAATAGCAACCACCCGATCAGTCACAAACGCAGTTGCGTAAGGGCGCTATACCGGCGTGTTGAGACGCACTGCAGTGAAATGGAAGACAAGGTTGCTGAATTACAATATCTTCGACGGGTAATGAGAGCCAATGGCTACCCGCGCAACTTTGTCAACCAGTGCATACGAAAAGGACACCAGAGACCAAATCCAACTAGCCCCAAATTTTGGCGGGCTCTTCCGTGCATGAAGAACGTCTCGGAAGCCGTCAGTCGTCTTCTCACTCCACTTGGAGTTGGGGTTGCACACAGGCCGGAAGCAACCATTAGGCGCCAATTAATGAGGCCAAAAAGACCCGCTGCCACGGCAGGAAACGTCTGGAGTCGTTTACCGGATCTGGTGTAGTTGCGGACAAAGCAATTATGTCGGAGAAACTGGGAGATTACTCCGTACGCGACTTGCCGAGCACGCAGCAGCAGTGAGGCGGGGAGACGCTACCTCTCAGGTGGCGGCACACTCGACGGGACCCGGCCATATTTTGAACTTTCAAGAGGCCGAAATCCTCGCAAGGGGTGACAACCGCGTGAGCCGCGAGCTGCTCGAGTCATGGTTCTCAGGCCCGCAATCCATCAACAAACACAATGACCTCCCGGTGCCCTATTCCGTATTGTGATTTTCAATGGACAGGAGAATCAGTCACGTGGGGAGGGCGCGGGTGAGCAATTATCACGGTGACAGTGAGCCAGTTTGCCGAGCAATCGTCACACCAGCATCGAGCACGGATGACGAAATCGCGGCCATTAACAACTCGGACTCGGACCGCCAAGCCACCGCCGCATCAATTACGACCCCAGCGGCGATTGTGAGAACTGTTAATTGCAGTGCGCATACGGTCCCACGGCAGCCACGTGCTATAAATACTGCACTCCTGGTGTCACCTTCACCTCTATCTGCGAATGTCTCTGAGGCCGGATTCGAGTGAGAATCCGAAACGTCAGGCAAATAAACCTCTTGTCCCAGTGATCGCATCTTCATCTTCCAAAACTGTTTGTTTAGTTCAACACTGACAACTGCTGAATGCAGTTGGAGGATTTGAACTCAAGTTTCAGCTGTTACTTTCAGTCAGAAATAAATACTTACCTGTTTTCTCGATGCCCCCAGGCAAACAGATTCAGCTGAAATTGTTTGTAGCCCTCCAAGATAATGCCGGATTTCTATTTAACGAAAAGAGCTATTACCCTCTTTATCAGCAAAAAGAGGCAAATTTTCTCTAACTTTGCTCCATGCATGACTGGTGTAGGCTGCTGGTTATTATATACCAGTCAATTTTACCCTTTCAAAAAGTACTCATTATAGTGGGGGCATATTGCGCTTAGCTTTCTTCTCAAAAAGCAGAGCCTATATTTTCATATCTGCCTCAAATTAGAGAATTTATCACAATTCATTTTACTAGGAGACCTACCGGTTCAATATTGAAAGTGAATTCGAGATCTTTCTGTTCTTCACCAACAAATTTAACTTTGTTCTGGACTTCCACAGCGGCCTTATGGAAGTAAGGCAGGGAGAAGAAAATTGGAGCCCTGCGTTTCTTCTTGAAAAGACAATTGGAGAGGTCAAAAACCCCGCCTGGAGGATTCTTTGGTCCAAGAGTTTCGTTTACGCCAAAATCGGCATTTTCTGGATGGTCTTGAGCACTGTGAAAAGTTTCGGGTGTTGGGCCAAGTTCGTAGAGCTAGGATAAAGGCGGATGTTTAGAGGAGGATAATCAGTTGTACGAAAGTGAAACATCTTCTGTTCAAAAACTCAAGTGTGGACATCTAGGTAATGGCGGATTGTCTGAATTTTAAGTAAACGTGGTTTACAGGAAACAATGGGCTGTTGACAAGTCAAACTGACATAGCAAACCCTGGAAACTGTGTTAGACTTGTTTACTTGACCTTTATTTGGGCCAGGTTAAACAGGCGAACACCATATAATAACGAAATTCGTCCGCTGAGAAGGTGCAGTTGTCGAAAGAGGGATTTTTTGAGCTAACTTCTAAGAAATCTTTGCCCAAAGAAGAATGGTTCGGTTTTTTGAAATTTGACGCCGCTCAATGGAAGTCATATTTAGTCATAATGTGCAACAAAATACGCGAAGAAGGCGATTCATAACAACATGTAAATTAATGGACATTTCCTCGGTTCCGATGCATGCCCAGTCAGACGCCACTTGTACTTGTGACATCAGCAATCATATATGATCTACTCAACTCCATAGTTTGGATCTGCGCTGCACAAATGATCGTCCTACGTCGCGATTTCTTGGAAGCACACTGCCGAAAGTTACTGGGCCAGTTGATAAGTTAGTTCTTCAGACCGAAAATGCACGTGGTCAGAAAGGCGTTAAAGATAAGCTTTCGTCAGATCCACCCGCAGTTACACCGCTGCCAGCAAAGACCTTATTTTAACGAGGTGATGTTTGATCAAATTCGTCTTCAGATGGGCACAACACATAATCGAATCATATCAGTCAAGCAGCTGAACCAAAGGAAGCAATATTAATCAGGTCTGAATCGGCTAGCTGACGGTGGGTTGGAATCAGGCAAACATCTAGCAGGATAAGTGAGTGCCTCTATCATGTCTCTCATCAGGACTGATGACAGGGAGGTCTGTGTCATCTAGTGACACTCCTTGTAGCAATTTGCAGACAGACACTTCTATGCGGGCGGTAATCTAGGTGGACGTTACTGTTGTCGGGAGGGCGATCAGCACTCGACAATTAGACATTAAACATGTCGTACTAACGCTATGGCCTGCGACCACCTTATAGATGACGGCCTTACCGTTACGCGCTTGGGCCTCGGGCACAAAGTCTGTTCATTTCACAGCTAGTGTTCGTTGAAGATCGTTTCGCTTCCCGTTTCCCGATGAATCGCCCCGTGGGCTCTCCTTTCAGACCTGCACTCGGGAGTTCGGGTATTCAAAGCCCACTCATGACGGGTTAAATCTCGCCGAAGGGAAACTGTCAAGTCCTGCCCACGACAAATGATAAGAGACTGCTTTCTACTGGAATAAGGATTTTAATAGGTTGGAATTACCAGTGAATGTAGTGAGAACTTGAATCTAACCGTAAGCCTAACCGAAACATCGGATGATGCAATTGATAGGATTGCTAAATACGCACCAAGAAGACCGTTGTCCATGAACGTAATACTTACTAGGCATTAGATCTCTGCGTCCGGATCAAAAATGAAGTAAATACACTATACAAACAGGAAAAGAAGGCCTTTAGTCTAGTTATGTTTGACAAATGCGGCTTTCTAGCTGACTTTCTGAGAACTTCACTCGTATTTCCCACTGTTCTTTCTCACATCGCATTGTACCACTGTTTTCTCGACCTCCTTACCCTTCACTCTGTGCGCTCAAGATTCCATCTCTCAGGTTCGGTTCCTTTGAAGTTCGGCTGTTATACTCAATGTGAACACTCACAAGCAAAAAATTAATGTTTCTTATTCAGTACCCTAAGTATCTGTTGCTGCTTAGACCCTTCTACCGACCGAACAGATTTTATATTTTCGTCTGGCAACACACGATCGAAAATTTCAACTTGCCTCCATGTCCGGGAAGTTTTTCGCTCTCACCTTCCTGCGTGCCGTAAAGTTGAAAGATCGGCAAACCGAAGTGGCGTACATGAAGCGTGAGGAACCAATTTCGACGTCCGGCGGCGTAAATGCACCAGCTGCAAATAGATTTGGAAATCAAAAATGCGCAGTAAGAGGTGTTGCTGAACAACTTGCAAACAAACATTCCATATTGAGGTTGTGTTTTGGACAAAGTTAAATTCGATTTGTTGGATTTCGCTTAATGACGAGGACACGAAGATGAGTCTGGTCCACCTGGACGGGAAAGAGGTTGAAAGTGAGACTCACTAACATAAATCCACTGGTAAATGTCGCGTTGACCTGACATTCCCTGGTTGATCCTGATGTTAAGTTGCAAACTTACAGTTCTGCTTTCCGTCAGAGTTGGGGTCTATAGTCCACAAAGGCACTCGCGTGACAGCGGCGACAGAGTTGCTCGAGTACTAAGTGCTGACATCAACTGATGACCACTGATAGACCAGAAACTACCAACTTAGTATGCAAACGGGAATACATGTGTTACAGGGACATTCATTAGTTGTCAATCAATAAATGACTGGCCTGTGGCGCTAAATGTTCTGGCAGAGCTAGGACAAGGTCATTTGATGCGGGTCTATTTGCGTCGAAAGTGGAACACCAAAGGTAGCAGTTCCTAATATAGAAGACTTTTGACAATCTCACAGGAAACCAATCACAATCTTACTTGTTCCATTTATCATGTTTGCATAGTGTCCTGCCCATAGGTCCAGCAAGCTGGCAAAATAAAAATTACAAGTATTACACACAGTCTGTATAAAAAAATAATTTTTCCTGAGGAATATTGCTGAAGGAGAAAAACTTTGCAGAAAAGATTGTGAAACTTGCCACTGAAGCTTAAAAATCGCTCCAATAAAGTGATATTTGCCTGCACAACAAACATACCAAAGGCCACCCTGCCACGAGTTAAAACTATGGATGACGTCTATAAGATCAAGTTTGACTCCTTCGTAGGTGACAACATAGAACGGATACACAAATGACTACAAACCATTTAAAATATCGAGCAGAATGAATGCGCTGTCTCTCACGGCATAAAGCTGGCCAGTGTCTGGACATGCGCTCGTCTTTCAGAGCGTCGAAGTTATAGGTGACAGGAATGACCGCAAGGCTGGAGAAACACCTGAGCTGGACAGCCTTTGTACCGGTCCAAATCCGGGCGCATGTTGCAACGTTGGGCTCTCGTGACTACTGGTACGTGAGCCCTGATTTCAGTCTGGTTCTCGGCCAACGCCGGCTGTCCAGAGTGGTCAATCCTTTTGGAGGCTGGTCCAGACATGACCTCTTTGAAGGCGCCGGATGACTTTTCCCCAAACGGGCCACGTATTAGATGCGCTGGACCAACACGGGGGCCATATTGGATTCTGGCAGGCGTTATCGGATTGCACACCATAAAAGATACCAACATTTCTGGATGCAGTGGCGGAGCCGGTTGTCGACAGTCGTCGTGAACACTGGGACCCCTGCCCTCCCCCTTTGTTGTTTTTGTTGATCAAAAACCTGGTCATTTGTTGTGTGGACCAGGGGGTATGGCCTCCACCGTGCCATCCACCTGCGCCCTCCCCAGGCTCCGGTCTTCTTGACTCTGTCTTGACACCGGATCCAGGTGGGGAGTGGGGAGGATAGGGCGTGCTAGATGCTGCGCAAGCCCGCTATCACTAAAAGCTGATTCCCGCACAAGTCACCGTTCCTGCTCTCACATTGCTCTGGAGCACACGGTGGGCATCGCCGAAATCGATGGTCGAACTGTCGGATGACTGTCCCACAGTCTCATGCTGGTGGCGTCCGACGCGTCCTCCTCCGACTGTCAACTCTTAGCAGCCTCCCCCCCAATAGTTCTGTACAGAATACATCATCCTTCCAATTGGGGTTCCACTTCTCCGCTTCCTCTTCGGAACTGGGCTTGATGGTCGTAATGGCTGGGGTCTCAACCTATGGCTTAGGCTGTCGCTATACTTGCATCAGCCGTCGGATGGCTCCCTCCTCCCCTCCGCAGCCCAAAAAGCCTTCCGGACCCGTCTGAATGAACGAAAGAGCAGACGCAAACTCATACCATACGTGAACCCACAAAAGGGAGAAGCCAAGCCGGACCCGCATGTGCACATGACCTACTAGATCTGACAAAAGCGTGACAGTCATCACTGACGCAGCAACCACTGCCCAGGCAGATGGGGAGAGTATGCAAGGGACTTGCTCCCTCGGGGCGACAATAAAGGTCAGTGCGAATGCGGGTGATGGCTTCCAAAGTCTAAAAAACCGACCTTCAAAAGGAATACCTTGTGGTTGGCGGCGTCGCAATATCTATGGTCTCACGTCGGACTGTTTTCCATACTGACAGTATTAAAATCGCGCCTGGTCGTATTCTTTTTTATTTCATACAGACGCAGTGCTGAGACCTGTGTCAGTAAGGGACATACAGGAGTCGGCAAAGGAAACTTCCAAAGACAAAAATATGGAATCCATCCCGCGGATGCTCATCACAGCACCGGATTTTTGTCAGAAAAAGGGAACTGTCTGCCGCAGTCTCATCTACGTCATTGCAAGTGGGTTTAATGTACCAGAGGGGTTGTTTTGCATTCCAGTTGCGTGCATAAACAAAAAAATTGGTTTCATGTAAACTTTTAGAATACGAAGCTTTTTTCTAACCGATCTCCCCAGGAAAGTATACAAATAGGAAGGCGAACTCTTCATCGGTTAAGTCATTTACTGGATTTTTCACATTGCAAATTCACCTTTGATTGTTGATGGATAAGATGTGTCCTAGCCGCGAGGCGTCGTCAGTACCGGTTAGAATTGTTATTGGATCAGAAATAGAATTGTTTTTCTAAAATGATAGTATGTCGGAAGACAGGAAAGATAATTTTTGTGAGAATTTTTCTTTGAAATAATATCAGAGAATAGTGTAGTTTTGAACAGTAAAAATAAAAATCACTTAACAGTAAAAGAACTCGTATCTTAGACAAACGACCACATTGCTCCCTGGTGAATTGCTGATGCCTGAATGATTTACTCAACCGTCTAGCCTTCATCAAGAGTCCTCCATCATGTTTGAACACTTCAAAGGGTTGTAGTTTGAAATGCAACTTAAATGCTTCAATTGTCCTTTTTAAAAGACGGTTGAGACACAATGCGAACTTGTATTATCCACGTAAGAGGAGGCTGATGTCATGTTAGGATCTAAGCATTTGTAATTCTTCAATTTTTAATAAAATACTGGAGGGAGAACTAACGAGCGTAATCCTGATAAAAATCTCGAAATTAAAAGATGAACTTTCCCCTGCCGTAGCCCCTTTTATTACTAATTCTGTTGTCCGCTCAATATTCTCCGACACATATCTCTTATCACAGTTTAACGTCCACAAGGACATTTAGCCATTTATGCCAGTCTCTGCCAAACCGTACTTTGGCAATAGAGACAATCCATCATTTCAAATTATCAACCTACCGAAATAAGTAGACCCACATTTGTAGACGTGCATATATTTCCGGTCAGGCGGTTGCAAACCTTAAGCAATTTGTCTTCGTATCCCCAAATGTATTGGTGGGCTGTCGTTTTGATGAAGGGTTGGACAAAATGCTTCATTATCTTCCTCACTTTCGAGAAACGCAAAAGGTCTCTTCCGAGTGCGACCATTGTCTTTGAAAAAGTGCAAAATATGTTAAACATGACAAAAATGTTCGGCTCCCAGATTGGGGAAAAAATAGGGCTTGTAACTCTTAGCAAATTTCTAACCCTGTATTCTCTATAATCAGTCTAAAGAGTCCTAACAATTTACGCGGCCTATATAAGGTCCTAAAGCTAAGCTAATTTTCCACTAGCCAAGCTCTCGTGGAATAGTCTGTATTAAAATCAAGTTTCACCCGCTAAGAGAGCATGAAAACCCATGAATTTATGCAGAAGAGAGAATGTTGGCTAAAGTTCAATATCACAAGCACGCGCTAGCACTTTTAGCTTGCTTTGCAAGTTTGCTGAACCCTGTGCTCTTACTTTTAGTGGTGGTACTGTGCGTTTTAATTGTGATTTCCATGAAGTTCCAAAGATCAATAATCAAAAGTATTTTCCAATTGATTAGGCTACTTCGATATAAATAGCTGTTTTCGATTTTCAGGAATTAAAAGTCGAGGTCTGACATAAATAGTACACAACATGAGAAACTACAAAAGCGGTGGCTAAGATGATTTTCGGGCAAAACAAGTATGTCTTTTTATTTGCTCAATGATTTGACTTGCATTACAGTGGCAGTAGCCTAATTTAGAAACCTGATGTTTGGCTTGTGTTTTCCATATATCTGCGTATGTTGGTGGTCTTAAAGTCACTTCTAGGTATTTACTCCCCCATACACCTGTAAGGCGTTCAACCAGAGTCTATTTGTTTCTAGTCTGCATATTTAAAACTATCTATGAATAAAAACGGTTATACTGGCACGGGCTTTCCTGCAGAGAAGTGAAGTGAGTTGACACAACTTGGCTGAAAATGAGATGTCCCGATAAACTCGTCTTCTTGAGCAATAGGAATCCCTCTTGAAGCGTTTTTGGTCGGACGCAGGATGCCCAGTACTCAAAATGACCTCGAGCTAAATCCAGGGAGTTCCAAATGTTGTATCCTAAATTTAACTCTTGACCTAATCCTTTTAGCGACAGCCCTAACACCAAACCGCACAACCCCAACACTTGGAGCAGCCGCCCCAGTGCCCCCGCTCACGGCGCCTCTTTGTCAGTCGATGACCGCGACAACCACGCTAGACCTACAGACACACCGCTGACGCACGGCCGTCCCTCAGGCCTGAGTTGGGACTCAGGTGTGATGACTCACGGCTGATCACAGGCGCGTCGGAGAGCCCGGCTGGTTACCTGCTTGCCTTTATCATCATGTCCCCCCCGACTCTGACCCCAAACCAACCAATTACATGTCCAACACTCGGCTAGACACTCCCTCATGCTATCACGGCCATTTGACAGTCGTGTGGACAACACAACACGGCTTGCGCCCTCTCAAAAGGACGCTTGCTCCGACACAAGCAAGTAGTTAACTCACAGCTACCTGCCCTGTGTACAACATAAACTGATTCTCACAGCTCCTTGACTTCTGACAGTAGACGGAGCAAACTTATTGCGTGTAGTTAAAGTTGACCTCACTTCTTTGACCTCCGCACAATTAGTCCATAACCCTACCTTCAACCCTAAGCATAAGCCCTAACACCTACCACTGCCCTAACTCTAACCCAATTAACCAAAACATCAACGTTAAGTCCTAATCCCCGGAATTTAAGGTAGGGTCATTTGCGATACGAAGGGTCCGTATTCCTGTGCCCAACCGCGTTGTTAACCTTCACTTAACCAGTCGGTCATAAGTGTCCATATTCATTCCAAAGAACAAAGAGTCGCTGTTGACATTATCCACCGTCTAGCTGTCCTTGTGTCCAGTTGATACGCCTCTAGTTCGTGGTGATGGTATCAGCACGATACTCTTTGACAAGACAGGCCAGTTATTAAATAATGGTTGTCAAAAATTAAGCTCAGTTCAAAAAGTAGTAAAGTGGCATATAACTAAGTCAGAAGAGGAAACTTGACGTAGTTTACTTACAAAATCTGGCATTTTTGCTGCTATGATGATGTCCTTTTGCGGGTCACCCACGGACATCTCCGGGTCAAAGACAAATTTATTTTTTTCGGTGTATGTGAACGTAGTGTATTTCCCGTCAGCAGACCATTTTTGGTCATCGTAAAAGGAGTACTTTCTAGGATGAAGTTGAGTTAAGTTATGTTTATGCATGCGATAACGATGATAAATTATAACAAGTAAGAAGGAAGTAATTTTCTCCTCCTCAGTTACTGTTTGAATGCTTGCCCAAAAGGGAACCTAAGTCAAAACATCGCTTTCGGAGTGAATGAGATATCCCAGGAAGCATACAAGGAGATAAACACTTTTCCTTTGTAAATTTCGGAAAAGGATATACCGCAACTTATTTTGCAGACAAATGCCAAGGTTTCGGTGAGTGGCTATTTATCTCTGGGTTGCATCAGATGGTGGCGAATATTCGCCTGCAGTCGATGATCTAAGTCTACTGTGGCGAATTGTAACGATCGAGACACCAACTCTGGGACTCTCTCAACGTAGGAAATGGTCCTCCAAACCTCGGGTTGCTGCTCCATTGACCGCCGTCTGTTCGCCCTGCGTCTGTTTTAATTGATAAAATGACTGGGCTCTAGAGAGACTGTAAGGGTATAGCAGTCTGGTTCTTTGGTTGGCTTGCGTTCTGCAACGTGTTTTCACTCTTCGGAACAGGCTGCCGACACAGCTGCATTTTTGAGGCAGTGGGTGATTGCTGACAAACTGTAGTATTTACCTAATGTTTTGACTTTTGCAGTTGCCCAAATTGCACACCGGTGAATAAGAACGTTGAGGAGGGGGGGGGGGTTAGTAGCATAGTTCAGCTTCAATCGTAAATTGGACATTCGGGTCAACGGTTTTCGGTATTTCTTTAAGGTGCTGAATGTTAGATATTTTCGCAATAACTAAAGCATCGCCGGAGTACATAGTTTGCAGCTGCTGAGCTGGACGACGGCGCACAGGTACGATGAGTGGTATGAATGACTTATATTGCCCACTAAACAGGACATGGGAATAAGAACGCCCCGCCAAGTAAGGTGGGCTTGCGCATAACTCCGGAAAGGGTAAACTATTCCCGTGTCCTAACCCCAACAATAACCCTAATATAAAACTAAACTGCTGCTCTAATCTTGACCCTTACCCTCACTCAAACCTTTGTTTTGCAGGTAACACTGGCCCTTTCCCTAACTCTAACCTTGATCCTGAATTGCCTTAACATTGACTTTAAATCTGGCCTTGAACCTACTCCTTAAGTCGGCCCTGATCCTAACCTTAAACCTAACCTCAATTTCGCCGGAAGTTGGCTCAAAGCCACCCGCATCGCAGGCTGTTCACATTCTCATTTCCTGTCAAGGGGGCCGTATAGGCCAGTCCTGCCTTTTGTGTGAAGGGAGTTTGGCGTTTATTTCGGCTTCAGTTTTGAATTGGATATCTGAGTCAAGCGTTTTCAGTAATCCTTTAAGGTGCCTGATGCCAGATGTTTTGACAATGCCGAAAATGTCGTCGACATAGCGATCAGATAAGTTCGCTTGATGGGTGCACTTGAATTATCAAATTGACCTGAGACACTGACCGTCGAGCTCAGTGAAGTTCCCACGTTGCATCTTTCCGGAACTCAAACAAAATACCTTAAGGCAAACACCCATTTCAAAAGCGAATGACTTGCTCATTAAATCTCAAAGCGACTATTCCCTAAAGCTGAACAAGTCAACCTGGATGTCAGTTTATCTAGCAGTACGGCACTAGGACTTCTCGGTTGTGAGACAATTCAGTTATGATGTAAAGTTAATTTAATACAAGTTCAACTTAAGGACATGCTCTTCTTTCAACTCCGTCTTTTTATTAGTGTAAGGCCTTTCCTGACACAGGATCAATGATTTCAATAGTATGTTCTGGACAAAAGACGGCTCCCGTAAGTTGCAATGTAATCAATAGTTTTTGAAAAGGTGTGGAGAAAGACCCCACTTAACTGTCAGTAGACTGCGAATCGTACCATATGGGGTTTTATCTTGGCATACATTTGCATGCTGTTGCCGAAATTATACTGCCAAAAACGAATACTTCCCACGACCCCACATGTTAACCCACTTGGTGAGCCGCTAGCGCCCCTGCACATGGCTTAAACTGATGGGATCGCCACTGGGTCCGACATTTGACCTAATTCAGGGGTGAGCATCAGATGCGGTTCGACATACTGATGAGTTGTATGCGCTCATTTCTATGACCCACTTTTTGCCGTTCCATCTTCTATGGAGAACTGCCCGTGCTTGTCCCATAAGTATAGTCACAATGGGCTTTACAGGGGGTCAGAAAGGCTGTCAATCACACGTCAATGTATTCAATCTCTAGACTCGCACGAAACAGTAAAAAAACCCATTTACAAAACCAAATTTTGGACAGGAGAAGGGACGCTGCACAGCCCAACAATAAAATGCACCGAAATGTTAAAGTGAGAACTATAGGAGAACATCAGTAATTGCAGGATAATGCCTATTTCATGAACCGGATAAATCCTTTGAACATAATAAACGCGTATCATTTCAGTACACAAAGTGTTCAGGTTGATTCTGCAATGTTCTCTTAAGTATTTTACCAAATTATTTCATCAAAGTTAGATGACTGCTCAAGTTATCTTCACTGTCTCCTCTATCTGTAGCCTTCTCTAAATCCCCTGTTAACAGTAAACGGTAATTTAGTCAGTCTTTAGGATGGAACGTTTTGCTTAACATACAATGCAGCTTTTGGGGTAATGTTATACTAAAGATTACGGTGCTAGCATATAATAGTTGAGCCCACTTTAACCACCTATGTGTGGGGAATGCACAGTGCCTTATCAGCAGTCAGTTTTCGAAAAACCGTAATTTGCACATCTCTTCTCTAAAATACGTAAAGGATCGATGAATAAAACTGCTCTCTGTGGCCCGACAGCATAAACTGAAACATTTTCACGCCATTTCAGCGTTAAATCATTTTTCGTCATTTTTAAAATCTGCTCCAATTTTACTTTTATAGGCACGTGATAAGTATCCGCCCCTCGCATGCCTGGCGGCATATATAAGCAAGCGGTTTCCCGCGGAAATTCATGCTCTTTCTCCCCCCCCCTTCATAGCCACGTTCGTTGTTAGAGCTGGTGTCATGCTTACTGATAGACAGAAATGTGCAAACTGGACGCAGTGGTATATTTTATTTTGCTTCGGACTTTCTAAAAGGATTTTTGTATCGTAAAACACATATAAATGCTCCCTTTTAAACCACTGTTGTTCGCTCCATTTTGTATAATTAAAGCATCAACAAAGACAACTCATGGTGATTTCTAGAATACTGAATACTCCTCAAAAACTTTCGACCAAAGCACAAAATAGTACATGCTACTAAGTGAGTAAGCAGAGAAGATATTTTTGTGGACATCTTAAACTACCCGATCGAGATCTAAAGCCGACTGTCTCAGACTTCTTCAGTCTGACAACCGATGAATAGCACTACATGGATTGATACAATCTTTTGATTTTCAGACATTTCCTCCATCACTGATATTAATTTTAGCATGAGGTATTAAAAGAATTAAGAAAGATTTTGCATTAGATCAGCGCTTCTTAAAAAGGTTAACAGATATTTTTCTAATCTTTATCGTCATCCTGTATAGATATTGGTTTGATGTTATTCGTAATGGTTACTCACCGGTATACATATGGACCCACTGCCCTTAGTTTTGGGGTAGCTGAATTGCTCACTTCATTGGGGTTTGTTAAATTGAAAAGCCACACTCGCAGGTAGCTATATTTGCTATCATCAAGCATAATGGCTAAAGATGAAGATCCAGGTTTTATAACTATATTCTGTGGAAGAAAAAAACAGGTGGTGTTAGTTTCTGCGGATACTGTTTTATTGTATATCAAACAAGTTTCCGGGGTATTCCCTAAAAACAATTTGCATATTTTGTGAACGGCCGAGCCTACTAAATGTGTTTTCTGCTGACTATAATCTATGGAGCTCTTCCCGATATTAACCTGTTTTATCATCGCCAATGATAAAAGCCATACTTGTGGCAATCTATCAGACCTCACTTTACACGGGTTTCCATGTACTAATCCATACTAATCATCTGTACTGTAGTGAGTGGAGCACGTACGTCGTTCAGGCCAGGCATTGAAATAACAGATGCGTTCAGTAGTCATGCAGTGATCGGGTTAAGCTTTTTTATTGGTATAAAACTAGACTTAATATTTTAATATACTTTAAAGGTATTTTGTTTCATATCCCGATTTGTCCGATTTTTCGACAAAACCATATCGGGAACAGTAATGAGTACGCGACGAAAGTGTCTGGTAAACAGACGATTTGCCTTATGAACCTAAACATGTAGATATGCATACGTTATCTAGCGTAATAGTAGCGACAAAGACCAAACGGTGTTTTTGAGTGAACGGGTTGCAATTTTTGCACTTTACGACTGTTTTTTAGGAACCGTGCTTAACAGTGAGGACTTCGAGACCAAAGAACTTCAACTGCACACAAACCCATAGAAACTGGGCGACTACAATAAGCGTTAATAACATTATAGCATTTTAGCACATTGTAGAAAAATTAGTAAATTACCGACCAACTCAATTTTGCGTCCACAAGGGAGGCATCAACCTCCTCTAATATTTAAACTGCCACTTTGCTCTTTTTGAGGTAGTTTGAGCTACCTTCCTCTTAACGAGATAGCAAATGAAAGAGCTGTCTACATTTTTGAAAAGGAACCTTAAAACCACGGATGCAGTGCTTCATTTGGAGCACGGAGCACTGTAGCGGACGATGCAATGAAAGACAGAGTAAATTAAGTATTTGAAATGCCAGAATGAATCAAAGATTCTTTTTAGACCTGTTCAAATTTTAAAATTGCCCGAAACAATTAAATTCCATTCTTAAGACCCTGTTGAGAGTAATTTGGCCATGGGCTCGACACTGACCAAATAAAACAAAACTGCTTTTGTGATGAAACGACTGAAAAAGTATTGGGCGTGATCGTTGGAATGGCGATAGCGCCTACGTCTGAGCTGCTTTCTGGGCTCATATTTTCGGTTTTATCAGAAAGGACTTAACTGTTATGTAGTTTATAGAGGAAAGAAACCATGTAGGCAATTCAGGTCCGAGAGCAGTCTACTTTTGACTACAAAACTACTGGACGGTGGAATTATTGCTAAAAATCAAACGACCTTGGTCGTTGGGTATCATATTGAGAAGATAACCTTCGAGTTCCAAGCAGGAAACTTCGTAGGAAATGAAACTTGCAAAACTCCAACGAACTGTTTCGCAAGAGGGCGAGGTCGCTTTACAAGGGGAGCTTATTTGAAAAGAGTGTGCTAAGTGGATGGACATCAACCTAACTTTGCAGCTCATACCAGCAAAAACTCTGTACGGATATCAGAACATTTTAAACACAAACTTATTTGCTAGAAATGTTGGCTTATAAAAGCATGGCCAAATCGCTATACTGTTTCCAACCTTATTCAGTGCTGAAATTTCTTTAGCCTGTTTTATATTAGATATTGCATATTGTAGTTGGAATTAGTCGGGATCTACTTAGCAGAATAAGTAAAATGTTTGTTGAGTAAACGCACCTCCATTAGCTTTTTGTGAAGTAACTCGTTGAATTTGAAATACACTCCACTGCATATTATAGCGACCAGGAGGCATATCAGGATACCAAGCAGAGGCGAAATAAACAAGCATCGGGGTCTGCATTGGGACATAGTCTGTAAACAAAAAACATTTTAGTAGTTTCTTGCATGCCGTTCAGCACCTTGACCCTGGGGTTGGCCATCTGGGCTAGCTTGACATGTCTCCTGTACAGAGAATATGGCACTACACCATTAATGATAGCTTACCTAATAGACAAAATGGGAGAGTCTGAACAGGCTAGTTCGAAAACCGTCATATTGGGACACTATTTGATGACTTCAGGATACTAAATAAGAGAACTTCGGTGTAAATGTTTTAAATAATTCGTTTCTATCCCTCAGACTTACATATGAAATTAGTCATTTTCAAAGTCTTGCAATGCTTTAGAAGAAATGAAAAGGTTGAGGGTGATAACCCGTGCACTTATTTACGCCAAGCTACCTTTTCAAAACACCAGACACCTTTAAAGTACCAATCAGCTGACTCGGAGCGGTATGTGCAAGTTGAAAATGTGACCAAACATTTTAAACACATGAAATCAGAGTTTGATAAAATAAAACTTTAAAAGCATCCAATTGTCGGAAATATGAAAACTTGTAAAACTCTGCGTGTCGGGGTAGGTGCGCCTAAAAGAGCGGTAGTGGCTCATCTGCGCTTATCCAAAAATGGGCATAAATTCAGGAAATATGCGCACTGGCTTGACTAGTTTAACTGACAGTCGTATGAAATGATTTGACAGATTGCATTTTCAGCGGCGATTTTCTCATGACAGTCTTGGTTTTCTATTTGGAGAGTGTGACCCAATCTATGAGAATGAAGGGGGTCACTTTCTTTTTTCGATGTAGGTAGTAAACACCTGTTTGTTTGTCTCCTCGTAACCGGTTCTAAGGAGTCCATGTTTACCCTGTTAGTGAATCACACCTCGTTTTCCCTCTTAAAATACCTATTGGGGGTATAATTTTCCTATAAATCTCATGTGGTATTCAGCGAAAATGCGATGATATGGCCCCAGAAAAATTTTACAGTTAAGGTAGGATTTAAAATTCATAAGTTCTATAAATCTCTTTATGTTGCTCAGTGAAATGCCTGAATTTAGTCTCCTACGTCGGGCCACTGCAGCTAAGGCAGTGTTGTAAGGTGATCACTAGAGTTATGACATAAACATTTGTAGACACACCTTTCGCCAGTCCTGCAGTGCGCTGGTAGAAACCTGCTCAAAACATGTGGTATTTATCTAATCGATGGTCTTGAAGGTCAACGTGAACTGGAGAGGTCGTCTGGTCATAGGAGTCGGAACCAGACCAGCTGACCTTGTAACATCAGCCCATCTCTGCGACATGTGCGACTTGTTTATGGGGGTGCTGGAGTTTGTTTGACGTGCTGTAGATTCTGCTGTCTGCATGACGAGGAGATGACTCCTTTCTTCTATTAGAGAACATCTTGAGGAGATTTGACACAGAGGATGTAACACTGATTTACCGGTTGGTCGATCCTCATCAGCCCATTTAACTCTAGAAGGGCAGGCTATCATCAAATTCGCCCCACTTTCAAATAACACAGTCGAAGTCGTATAAACATTCCTAAATTGAGCGCAGAATGACTCTCAAACTATAAACTACTGAAGGCATCGGCAAAGACGATTACGTCTAAATGTTCTTTAAAATTTCGTCAACCACGTCAGATATTGGACAGACGTCCGCTCAATAGCCGTATTATGGCGTGGGAAAATTTTGAAGTTCATAGTCTACCTATTTTACCACTAACCATAAATACGTTTCGCCATCTATCCATTGATTCTCCTAGCGAATATGCTGGTGACGTTTAATGTTATACTTTTCTTCCGCCATTTCCTAAGATGAACACTTAAGACAACCGGCGGAGTGGACGGAAGCTATTTCTATGAAGTAGTCCATATTATTCCGCGGACGCCCTAAAACGGTTTTTCACTTTAACTATTAGTACCACCTACTACAGCAGCATAGAGAGGAGTGGAAAGCGCAAAAGTGGAAAAGAAATACTTGGAGCTATATTTTGGAAGATGTCCACTATTCTGAGCTCTAAGAAAAGCCGTTCGAAGACGAATTAGTGAAGTTTTGATGTACGTGCGATGAATGAGTAGTTTTCTGATTTATTATTATAATTTACGATGGACGCACTCTGCAGATTTGAAAAACTATGAGAGTTTGCAGATTTGATTTAATGCACCCCTTGATCTCGTTTATATTGTCCACCTTAACAATCGATTGCCCATTTGACTCTTAACTGAAGGATAAACTTACGTCATGCATACAACTTACCAACTCTACACGCCGCTGTAAAATTTTATGGGTTGGCCGAGCGATCCCTTCATCCATTCTGTTTACTTACGTTTCTTCGCTACGAAAAATAAAATAAGAGTCGAGTATGGATACTGTCTGTGGCCCCACATACTGTCTACTCCTATAATGTGCCTACTTATTTAATTTAAGTGGACACGTTACATTAGGATCTCCATAAGAGGGATCGGGTACGCAGCTCCAAACTTAGACGTAGGGTCACGGTTCGGGTTGGGCGAAGTCCGCTTTCACCGGATGGGCGTCAGCAATGCGCACGAGGAAGGCTTCTCGGGCCGCCGACAGGTTGTCTGTTTTCACACCTAATCACAGTCGGTACTGGCTTCGTCCACATGGGCCCAAGCTGCCCGATTAGATACCGGCCCATTCTCAGTCGACTGCAATAAGTTTCTATTGCGACGTTATGCCTTCCAGTCGTCGGCTCAGCGAAGTGCCTGGAGGTGTTTACGATGTAGCATTCGTACCCTTTGGATGGGCGCGGCATATATGCTTGACATTCCTTCGTCACAGTAACACTGCCCCTAGCTGCCTGCTTCATTAAGTTAGTCCTTAACGAAATCCAAGTCTTGTCGTTCATTTTTCAGAACAGGGCTCGGTTTTGCGATAGGTCGTACCGGCCCACTACTCCACTATGACCTTCCGTCGTCTTCCCTTATTGTTTCATGTGCTGATTGCTGTGTCTCCGACTTGGACTTTCCCCCCAGGAATTCCAAGTAGCCTTCACTTCCTTCAGCAGCGCTTTGGAGCACACGTTACGACACATGTCGTACGGCTTCCCTGATGCCCCAAGACTCACTTTGATTGCAGCCACCGAGTGTTTTTATCGGTTGCTGGATGTAAGAACTACGCAAGTTTTCATTATCTTCCATACAGTGAGCCAGTTCTAACATCTGGACACATATCCGTCTGCGTGTTGCAGTAGTACTTGTTGCGTTATCTCGCCCCCTCCCCCCACAGTAGCACTTCAGTTTCCCTTGGTAGTAGTTACCTTAGCTGGCAAATCTCAATTACTTGCGAAGGGTTGATTGTCTGCTCAATCTCTTCGTATAGCGTGGATAGCTCCACTGGCGACCTCCTTTGCCTGTGGTTCGGCTGGTCTACACATCTTGGGAATAGATCAGAAAAACATAGCGGTTAACAGCCTACTCATCCTACCTACAGTAAAAAAGCGTCCTAGATTTTTCAACTACCTTCTCTTGGTGTGCGCCTGTGCATTTACAACCCCATTCGCACACCACACACAACAGCATAGGCCAATTTCCAACGGACAATTTCAGCTTACCTTCAGCTTTCAAGGTTCTCGGCCTTGTTTTAATCAACCCTTGCGGTCATCGTGTCAGTCAGACAAAAACAGTCATTGGAACAAAGACCAGGAGCTCAAAAAATTCAGGAATCTCAGATCAGATCTCAGGTGGAAGGATAAGAGGTGCTAAGTGCGGTTCTGCTGATATTTAGTCCTAATCAGAGAATGTCACGCAGACTTTCTCAAATCCAACTCTGCTGACTGCTCACTCATAAATCTGTCTTACTGCAAAGAAAATGTTAGACAGATTAACCATTCGGTGCCAAAGTAGGTATTTCCGTGAGTAGACGAGAACAGTTGACGATCTTAGTTTAACAGTTCTGCCGCTGGCATTACCAGCAAATGCCCACGAGACCCCGACTGAATACTTTAAGCATGCGTTTGAAAAAATCTGGGAGAGGTTTTAATAATTGTTAGTATGAGGCTGGATTCTAAGCCAACAAGGAGTCTCTGCTTCACGACTAAGATTTTTTCGACCACCTGTATAAGTTATATTAGAAAACATGGTTACCTCAAATGGGTTCATTCACATTGCTGATTTTTGATCAGATTTTCTGGGAAAGATACGCAGAATCTTCATCTAATATGTATGAAGTTTCAATAATTCAGTATACTGGTAATACATTATAATAACCTCGGGGTTTTCCGGCGATGTTTAAAAGTGCGGTAGCTGATTTATATCTGCAGCCTTGCCCTATGATTTTCGGTAAGCATCTTTGCAGAAATATGCAACCATCTTTTCCTGACGATACAGAATGCATGGATGTGAAACGTTTCAAACAGTTTAAAATGAGGTGTTTCGAAGTATGCAGAGATTCATGAACTCACTTATAATCGGCAAAAATCCTTCCATTATTAAAAAGACGTGACGCCCCAGCAAGCGGACACGAAGCTGAATAGTTTCGTTAATTTTTCATGAAGTAAGAATCAAGCCATACAAGCCTCGAAAGTCGTGCGATTGTCTCGGATGCTTCCAGGAATACTCAGCAGGATTTAAGCATGTTATCGAGTATGAAGTATTGCTGAATGATATCCCGTGTTAATCAGTATTGGGATCAAATTAAAGTCTTCTTTTTTCATTTCAAAGTGCAAATGAATATCTCGATCAAATCGGTGATATTCCGTACATGCCATAAAGTTCTACCTGACCTAAATTTGTTTAGTATATTTCGCATAGAAAGAAATATTTTAATTTCCATCAGAAGACGAGTTTAGAGTGGCAGGGGCTCTACCTGTCAGTTCCCTTTCGTTGATCTAAGGTTTCACTCCAGTTTTCGGCAATGGGGTTTTTGCAAGGAGTCTGAGGCGCGGGTCCTCAAATTCCATTGTACCAATGCAGTAATGAGCTATGTCATCGCATTCGGAAGGCAAAATATGTTCAATTAACCAGGTGGCAGTTCTATTTTGATTTCCACCTAACGGAGGCTCAATTCCTCAAAGAATAACTCGTTTTCAAATGGGAATGATGGAGAGGTGGGGTTGTGAGGACGTTGAGTGGACCGTAGTTCAAGAATCGGCTAGGTATTCAGAACCGACATTTTTCACCTTTAGAATGTTCTCGTTTTTTAGAATTTATGACAGTTTCGTTGACAAATTAATCACGTCTTCTGGAACTATCTGAGGTGTGATGCAATTTCCACCAATAGTAAAAAAGTGCATTCGTGTTTGACTAATAAACTGCAGTCAAGGGAGCAAGCCAAAAGACCCAACTCCAGATCAATGCTTTAAACCTTGCTTTACCGGAGGTTGCAGATCTGGGTGAGTTGCAAATATGCCAGGCAATAGAAAAAGTCCCCCTGAAGCGGACCATCTAACACGCCTCAGGAGTCAGGTGGAATCATGCCAACTAATTCCCCGTCACCAAAGGAATTAGACCAAGTTACACTATTACGTTCAAAATGGCCGAACTCTACACATGAGGTGGATTTAACTGCAAGAACCGCCAGTTGACAGTTCAACCGTCGATTTCGGTGCTGTCCACCGAGTGGCCGACGTCAGGGTGGGAGAAGGGAGGAGGACCTGCGTGTGAACTAGTTTCCAGTGGTTGTAGACTTGTGCGAAATATAATGCGCACTCTTCTCTTCACCCACCCGGGTTCGGCGTCATGACCAAGTCAGAAAAAGTGGAGGTGATAGAGAGCCAGATGTCTGGTCTTTGGAGATGAGTCGTCGAAATCGTTGCTCTAAAAGTGATAGTTCGAGCGGAATTGCCGACGATGTTCGCAGTATGCTCCGCAGCAAGGGGTGGCTGCGAGGACCCTCACCCACCTGTACCCGGTGTCACGGCAGGTTCAAGAAGGCCAGAGGCAGGATCAGGCGCAATACCTGACAACTAAATACAGCCCATCTACACGCGCCACACACAAGAAGTGGCTCCTTACGCAACACACCAGGATCCCACAATAGGCATATTTATGTACTAGAAAGTCGTAGAGGCTACATGGAAAAAGAGTCAAGGCGCACGATTCCGTGCTTGTGGTGGGTGACGAGGAACTGGCTCGTGTCTGGGGAATGAGCTCATGAGGAAAGGTGTTATTATGGGGGTTTGACCCTGCGGTGCTATATCGCAGGCTTTCGTGCGATCACATGTGACCGAGTAGGCCCATGCGGCGACTGAATGCGCGTGGGCAGAGTGGAGAGTTGAGGCAGGTGCGCTGAACATTTGCTGGTGGCCCAGGCATCGCTTTGTCAGTCTCTGTGCAGTAGATGCGTAAAATGAAGGCGCGAACGCAATGAGGACTGGTCGGGATCGAGTCTACATTACTGGTGGTGGGGACGACGGTGGTGAGGGTGGTGGTGACCGTCGTCACCGTCGGCGCGGTGGTTTTGGCTGGATGATGGAGGTGGTTGTCGAAGATGTCATCGGCGGGGCATCAGAAGTGTGCTCATCGCTGGCGTTGGAAGTGGTCGTCGGTGTGGATGCATCGGATACCTCCGCTTCCCCCCTAGACAGCTGTTGCACGATCGTGGTGGTTTCTATTGTTCGTTTCCACTTCTAGGAGCTCGTCGATGACGGCGTCGGAGACCTCAGCTGGGTGACTGAAGACGGTTCTGAGGTGCTTGGGCCAGCACCTCAGAATTCACGAGTTTCCTGTCAGAAATGTTGCTCTGTCGAAGTTGAGAAGAAGTGCGGTTCCTTTGATTGTGGAACCCTAGCCTGCCTTGATTGATACAAAGAAGTCCTTCTTTTCATTGCGGTTCGCGTACCCTTGGATTTCCACGGCCTTGCGACCAATAAAGGCGTCGTGCGTCTCTTGTGACCGAAACTGCACCAGAAGGAAGCCGCTTCGTTTGTGTCGGTACTTCGTGTGACGTCGTTGCTGGCGACGCGCGCGACCCAGGACATTCATGGTGTTGGAGTGCATCTCGTTCCACAGTTTACGTCACGGTGTCTCCATGGTGGCAACTGCTACTTGTGATGTGGTTATTAATGTGGGGTTGTAGTGACTTAACGGATGGCAACGCTGTCGTAGCTGGTAAAGTAATGCTACTGTTTTGGGACTCCTTAGGCAGCAATACGTAATATGCAATCCTTGGTCTCATATTGTGCCCTTACCTAAATGAGTATGCAAAACGAGCCTTCCAGTTTATGCATCGTTAAAATTCCATCTAAACCGACAACGAGCAGATGAATAAATGTTTTCTTTTGGCGTTTCAGAGTCAGCTGGAGTCCGCTGCCGAAGGCAGAAACGGTTAAAGACCGTGACAACTCCAGTTCTTCCCAAGTATCACCACAAACTTACATAGAGGGGCTTTATTTTCTTTGGAAAGTGAGATTTTCATTTTAACACTCCTCAAATTCCAACTGTCCTGTATTTCTCTCTTGACCTACTATATTAGAACACTGAGCCTTAGTTTTATCTTCTTTGTTAATGTAAGCGAAAATTGTTTACAGAATTAATAGCCCTATAGTCCACGCTAATTATTTCCTTAATGAAGCCATTAGGTCTCTTACTTACGTTCGCACACTGATAGGTCTAAAGGGATTTCTATCCAGGATCCCATGAGTAACTACCTTAGCTAAATAAACAGGATCAAATTGTGGTTAGTTGTCATATGTAACTGGTTCTTAACTATACAGTGGCTCTTTTCGACATGTGCTTACTTGCATGTCAAGGGATTAAACGATTCAAAGTGACTGGCGGTTGATAGACTGATCTCCGACTTCCATAACCAGGGTCGATCATGCGGTTTACCAACAATCGAAGAATGCATAATCCTTCTCCAATCCCATTCACCCATTATTTACAAACGAGCACGCCTAACAATAAACAGCCTTTCCAGAGATAAACCCGCCATTTCATAATATCCACCTGTCGCCGGAACGAGCAGTCGACTATGACTGTTGCACTACATTCCGCCTCAGGTCGGCATAAGAAAAATAGTTTGTCAGAATATACCAGTGGAGCCTGCGGCAACTGCCGTTTGTCTTGTTAATGGGCTGGACGGTCCCGTGCTGATCGTTGCCGAGTGTGGGTCCGACAAGTACCCTGGGATTTTGTCTTAAGCGCCTGACTGTGCAATCTTTGTGTGTGTTGTGTTACTCCTAATTACGTAGGATGCACAAGCAGATGCTTTACCGTTAGTGTTTGCCTTCGCTTCCACCTGCCAGCTCTCCATTTGTCAGGTTGAAGACCAGGGTTACGAACTGACAGACGGGTGTGACCGCACCACCCAGCCGATAAAAACATTTGAATGATAAACGCTACTAAAAAGACTACGTAGCGTGTTTATAAGCCAGAAAACTTTGACTTGAGAGACACCAGTGCCGTGTGGCTGGCATGGGTCCACCACGGATATGTACTATACTTTATAACCAGGTAAATATGAAGGCTTCAATCGAAAGCGCTCACCTTCCTGTCTTTAATCACGGTATCAGGTATGGCTACCATTTTGATCTCACATTCTGTCAAGCTGTATTTGTAGCGTTAGTTTGTCCGATTTATTTCGTCCCGTCTCTAAATCGAAGTCTCAACCTTACAGCTGACTGCAAAACTTGCTCATAATCAACGCCGCGACTTAAGTGTCTTAACATCTGAAGGAACACAATTCTGTCGTCATTATCTTCTCAATCACTAAGTGGGAACGAACTTAACACAGACAAACGCTGTAGGTATTCGACAGAAATCAGTTCGGTGCACTTGTAATGACACTCCTCTGAACGTACAGTTAGTGACCTACCTCATGAAACGTGTCGAAATTTACGAATGATTGTCACTCACTCGCAAACCTACAATATTTCATGAGTCAAATGCCTATGTTAATTAAGTACAGGTTTAATAGAATTAAAAACATAGAAGGAATATTAAAGGCTGTCATGCGTTGTCTAGAAATTCCCATTTATTTTGTAAAGCGCAATATCCCGAAAACGTCGGAAATGGCTCCAATTTAGTAAACTTCGCTTTCAAATCTAAAGAATGTTTTCTCATACCAAACACGTAGTAAATATGAAAGTAGACACGAAATCACGTCCAATAACAGTGTTTTTGTGAAATATGCATTTAAACATCTTTTAATAAGTAGCATGATTTCATATATGACGGTTTGTTAACTGCTTCATTCTGAGTGGGAATTATAAAACAGTTTTCCAGTGAAAAGTGTGATTTTTGGCGAGGTTGAAGTAAATGGGGTGGGGTTCAACAAGAGAAGCTGAAATTTGCTTGATTTCACCGATGAGGACGTCGGAGGATCAAAAGATTTCATAAGAGGGCATGCCATGAGGCCGGTCGGTGCCTAATATATTTAAATAAACATGACAGGTGTGATCATAGACATACCATTTTATTTTTATAGAGAGAAGTTTTTCTCCGTTAAATGAATTTACACTTTTCGTTAGTTTTCGATTACGTTGAATTTCAGATCGGCCTCTAAATCTTGCTGAATACTTCATGATTTTCAGTATTTTCACCCGATCGCCCATAAAAACAGATTCTGAATCACCTGTCTGTTGAGAACTTTAAGATAAGATTGTTCTTGAAGGCATTTACCAAATTAGCGAGTGTTCAGGCGCTCCCTTTCACGAAGATGTTCGTTTGGGTCACATGTGAAGACTCATTAAAACACCAAGCTTCATTTTCGAGAAAAAGGGCTGTCCACAAAGAAATTCAGCAACGAATATGCCTTCGAACAACAAGAAAAGTTTGCTTAATAAGTTACCTCTTTAAGAAGTGCTTTAGTACTGCACTCCGTTGACGGATCTCTGTGTACATTGCATTTTTGCACGGTGAGGCTAAGTAAAATTTGACACTTTTGACCATTTCTTTCGCGTTCCTAGAAATACTAATATTTTTCTACCGTAAACGTAAGAACATGCCTTTCTCTATACATTGAGGTAGTTTTCGCTGTTTTGCTCGCTTTTAGACTCTTTTCTTTGATTATGAATGCACGGAAGAGCGCCCATATAAATACTGATATTTTGATGGAACTATTAATGGTTTGCTCGTTCTATTTCTGAATAAAGTATGCAAAGAAGCTAAACAAAAGAACAAGTAGTGTTTCATATGTTTAAAGCTAGAAATGACCACTCGGTTGTGGTCATTTATGTGACATCAGGTAGAATTTTCCAAACGGCAAAATAATTTCAGTCCATTTAGACGAATGAATCCCTATCAGCTTTATTGCTGCACTTTAGGGCACCAAATCGCACAGATCTGCTAATTTGACATTTAGGAATTGGTAAAATCTCTTATTTTCTTAAAATAACGCTTCTGTTAGCAGGTTGATCACCATGGTTAACATCGGACATAAAAAATTTTAAAGTTCGGCTTAATCTGTTTATTAAAACTCTTGCGGGTAAATTACTGTCCTTTCAATGAAAAAGTCGCCCAGATGCGTAACCGGCGTCTAGGACATGTATTAGCATAGGAAATAGCAGGAATATATTCCAGCGTCCATTTTCTGATATTTTGCTTGATATAATTACGTAAGCACAATTTATGCACATGAAAAGGGCATTTTATTGAAGGAAGTGGATGAGCTCAACGTTTAAGACGTCCAGAAATTCTCTCATTAGATTCCGTTATCAGATTTCTTGAGATAGGTGGCGAACTGTAATTGGGTACTTTTTATGCGCCTTTTAGATATCTTCTCCAAGTTCGCAGAACATAATCCGGTAAGATATGGTTATGTAGCCCCACCTGATGGACACAATACTGTTGGGGTCGAGTAAGGGGTCAGGATTAGGGATTTGGGTGGGGGTTAGAGTTATGGGTTAGGGTTATAGAGTAGGGTTGAGGTTAGGGTTAGGGGTTAGGCAACTATTTCTCAATCCGCCGGAGTACAACTGCACATTTCCAATGGCTTTTTGCATTCAGCTACGTGTGTTTCTCGATCCCATCTGTAAAAATCCCTATTACCACCGGTCCGTATTACAGGTGGTTGGGTTTATGTATTTCAGATGGGGCTGCATAACCACATCTAATCCATAATACGGTTGCGGCCGAACGAAAACTCCAAGAGCTTTGTCAGGGATTTTGCGTTCAGGCTGACGGACCGAATTCACGCAGTTTTTATTGTTACCATCCCCGTGTTTCAACGACTTTGAGGATTGTGATTTGCCACATAAGTATTTTGATCCTAACAATAAGGCGCTTTTTGAGGCTGGGAATTTTCAAAGGATGATTCTTGGAAGGTATTTACGTGAAGTTTTTGCTCATTTTCGCTCTGTGTTATCGAAACATGTTATCACGAATTACGAGATGATTAACTTAATGCACCACTCCACAACCCACTTACGCAGGCCATCTGTGTCCCTTCATAGTATCATGCCGTCATGTGCTCGCCAGCGATCCTCCAAAGTCTGCAAAAAACGCCGCGCCCGACTTAATCGCATGTACCAGGCCAAGAATGCAAAAAAACATATTCCTAGTGCAGATCTTTGGATGGACACTACTTATAACTAGAGTCTTTTATGGAGCTCGCACATGAAACTGCCTTATCAGTGTAAAAGGCATCAGAAAACTAATGGAGGTGGTGCTGGTGTGCGGCCATCAAACGCCGTGCTGTGGTCAAAAAAGACAACATCCTGTCCCAAGCCCTCATCTACTTTTCTATTGTAGTTAAAGTAGTTATCAGACAGAATCGGTTTCTCCGCATACGTCATGATGCGTGTCCGCGAAACAGCTTGCTTGATTGGCAAAGGGTATCAGTTCTTGTTTGAAAATGTTCTTCG